TTTTTTTTTTTTCTTGTTAAGCTTTTGGAATAAGCTGTCTTTGACTTACTGGTTGACTTATAAGCAATTATAATTATCACTGGGCTGATTTTAGCCATGGAGTTTATAGGCCTAATGGGGCCTAAGAGAAGTAGCCCAAGGTTACAGTACTCTCACTACTTCTGCCATTGGGGAGATGGTGACTGGTCATTGGTATTTCAGTTCACACATAATGAACTTTTTTTGCTATAGGGTTCCTGTGCTCACCAGAAAGACAGAGACAGAGAGACAGAAAGTGAGCAATCACCCCCTGGGGGAATGGCCACGCTGCCATCCCGTCTCCTCCCTCCTCCTCTTGGGATCTTGGGCACGCATACACACGCACCCAGCATGAGTTTAAGCCACCAGGTCTGGGACTCAAACTGCTGTCAGCTACATGGGAGTCCAGTGACATAGCCATTATGCAAACTGGCTGGTCCCCACACATAATAAACTTCTAAGGGATAGAATTTTTGGAGAGCGTTCTTTGTAGCAAAGTCATTTAAGTAGTCCTGTGAGTTGCTTAGTCTGTATGCACAAGAATAATAGCTGTAACATGGATAATAGAAGCTCAGTGAATCCAGAAAGTAGTTCATTATGGGAAGGCTCAACCCTTAGAAATGATCCTGTAGAGCACTAAGATTAGACGGCTAGACTTGAGGCTGCCTAAGTGAGAACATGTGCTTTTAAGGAGATTTTTACTTGTGGCTGCAGTATACCAGGACATTGAGTATCAGGGATTCCGAGGACTTGTTTTGATTACCATGACTTACAGAAGTGTTAGTGGCCTTTCAGAGAGCTCTCACTACTCCCAGGGTGGTGTGAGGGCTTTGACTCAGCAAAAGAGGGTGTCGACAGCAGGTTCCAGCCACATTGTTGGGTCATTGATGACAGTCACCAACAAGGGCTGGAAAGGCAGTGGGGTTTTCTCTGAAATAGCTTTGTAGTTGTGAATCCTGTTAGGTAACTCCAAGGGAGTGAGCACAGCTTTGGAAGTGGATTTGGCATCCGCCCTATTTGGGATTTGGCTTTAGAAGTCTTTAGTTGGTACCTGATGTGGTTGTTGGTATGTATTGGCTTAGGGACTGTGAGAATGGTTGTTAAACACTTTAGAAAAACTTATTATCAGGGCCAGCAGGTGGCGTAAAGGTTACTGTGCTGCACTCCACATGACGGACCACTTTCTGAGCCCCATAAAACTCAGGCCAGTTGCATGTGTGCGTGTGCTCAAAATCCTAGGGGAATGGAGGTGAAGGGATTGTGGTGTGGTCATCGCCCTGGGGAGTAATTGATTTCCCACTTTCCCTCTCACAGTCTCTCTGTCTCCTCTCCAGTAAGTGCATATGCCCTATAGCAAAAATGTTTTTAAAAAGTAAAGCTTGTTATCGCTGTGGGTGAGCTACCCTTAGTTTCTTAGGTACAGTGACAATAGGTGGTGTTTCAGAGGCTTCAGATTTTGGTGGTTGACAGTGACTAAGGTATCCCAGTGATTTGATGGTTCAAAGCTCAGAGAGAATCCCAGGAGATGTCTAAGAATATCTGCTTGACCACCAGGCTGTCTGCCTTGTATCAAAGGACCTGCATCTGACAGCAGAACCAGAAGGCGCCATGACAGTGAGAAAAGCTAAAGTTCCAAGGTCATCAACAGAGAAGGCATCTGGGAGGAGATCCCAGATTCTCAAATTAGGTGGGGATGGTCTCTGCACTCATATGTCAGGTGTATGCGCTACTGGTCATCAGGTTCTGGAGTAATTGGGCAAACAGTTCACCTATTCTGCATTCTGCCGTTAGTAGGGTGACCATATATTCTAATTCTCCAATTGCTAGTGTATATCTCTAGTCCTATGATAATTATTAGGACCCTCTTTTGCTCTTCTCACTACTGATGTCTGGCTGAGCATATCTTCCTCTAGAGCCAGCAGGTCTTTACAGATATTCATAAAGGTTGTCATAAAGCTTGCCAGGTATTTTGACTAATCTTTTGAGGCAAAGTGTTTAGGTGTACTTAGGGCTGAAAACTGAAGAATCTCTTTGAGAGCGGCTATCAGAGAACACAGACACATTCATAGTGAGTAACTTTTGGGAGAGGACAGACTTTGAGGTGAATGTTTCTGCTTATAAGTTTTAGTTTATTCATTATTCTTTGGAGGATATTTGAAAGTATTTGAAAGTTACAGGTGTTTTGAAGTAATTCTTCTGTAGCTTCTTTCAAAAGGTGGCTTTATATTCCTGTCAAAGTAGCTTAGGCTCTAAGTAACCTGGATTCTAGATTCTTCTCATTCATCATATGAAACTACATTATTTAGGTGATAGGGATAAGTATTTGTTATAGTCCAGAGAGGAGAGTCTAGATCTTTTAGAGACCCAGTTCTCTGACATCTTACAGTCTACTTTCCATGATATGTTCAGCGTCTACTTGGCCTCAACTGAAGAGGAAGCTGTTTTCCTCAGTGGACCTACCTTGACCTTGTGAATTGGCTTCTCACATACGTAGGAAATTCTGTGTGGGCTCTTGTCACATAAGACACCATTGACTTGTGAATCCTCCAGTCTTTTAATTTGAACCCGGTAAATTTGTGCAAGCTCTGGGCAGACAGTTATAAAGCCTAGGTGGACTCCTGTGAAGTGGAGTGAGCAAACAGGATAAAGCTGAAGTCCTTGTGGCACAAAGCTTTTAAGTACCACAACAAACAGGCCTGAGTAATAAAGTGGAATGCTGTCCAGCAGCCTGTGAACGCCATTTTATGGACACACACTCCCACCCTCACAAGATGAGGACAGAGAAGCCTGTGGCTCCCTTACGAGCAAGGTGGTTTGGAGTGCAAAGCTTTAGTACATTTTTTATACCATATTCATGAATTTATCATTTCTATTCACACAGTATCATGCATTTTAGTTAAAAATAAACCACATCTTTTCAGAAAGCATCTAAACCTAACAGGGTGCCATGACTTAACCTTAAGTAGGAATAGTCTAACTTTCTTTTGTAAAAAATATTGTAGTGTAAATATATTATTTTAGATTAATTTCACATTTTGCATACACATACAGTCCCTGTCATGTATATTCTCTCTTTATAGATATATCTATATCTACATATAGATATGTTTGTTTGTTTGTCTAACTTTCTTTTGTAAAAAATATTGTAGTGTAAATATATTATTTTAGATTAATTTCACATTTTGCATACACATACAGTCCCTGTCATGTATATTCTCTCTTTATAGATTATATCTACATATAGATATGTTTGTTTTTGTTTTATTTTCCCTCAAGAGAAAGCTCTACATTTCTTTGAATGCTTCTTCCCTTTGGGGACCAGCAGATGGCATAATGGATACTTTGCTCAACTCTCACATGACTGACTGACTTGAGTTCTGAACTCAGTGACTTGAAATTCAAGCCGAGTGGGTGCACGCGTGCATGCCCAAAATCCTGAGAAGAGAATGTAAGAGAAGGAATTGTGGTGTGGCCATCTTCCCTTGGGCGGGGAAGGTGACCTCTCACTTTCTCTCTGTCTCTCTGGCTAGCACACACACCCTATGGCAAGAATCTTTCTTTAAAAAAAAAAAAAAAGTTTCTTTCCTTAGCACTTTATACCCATCCTCTGCCACCTGTGTCTCCCATCTGCTTTCCTCCCTTACAGTCTCTAGTATCTGCACTTATCCTTTCTACTATCATATCTTTGGATCTCTCATAGAGCGCAGATACTCAGTACAAATTGAGTGGGGATATACGGTGTATATCTTTCAAAGTCTGGTTTCCTTCACTCAACAGTAAGTCTTCTATATTCATCCACTTTTTTTTTTTTTTAAGAGAGATTTTTGTTATAGGATTTGTGTGCTTGCCAGAGAGACAGAAAGCAAGAAATCACCCATTAGGGGTGGTGACCATGCCACAATCCCTTCTACTCTTGGGATTTTGAGCATGCATGCATACAAGCCCAGTATGAGTTTTAAGCTGCCAGGTCTGGGACTCGGTCCACAGTTGACTATGTGGGAGTCCAGCAATGTAACCATTACACTGCTGGTTCCTATTATTCATTCACTTTTTTTTTTGGAGAAGTTTTTTTTTTTGCCGCCTATAGGGCCCGTGCACTCACCAGAAAGAGAGATAAAAAGCGAGAAATCGCCCCCCGGGGGGATGGCCACACTGCAATCCCTTCTTCTCCTTTCACCTCTTGGGATCTTGGGCACAGATGCACATGCACCTGGGGTGAGTTTAAGCCACCAGATCCGGGACTCGAACCACAGTTGGCTACGTGGGAGTTCAGCAACATAGCCATTATGCTAACTGCTGGTCCCATCATCCACTTTTAATCACATTATAAGGTCTCATTATTTCTTGTAA